CCCTGGGCTGCTGCAAAAAGCAGAGGTTTGCTTCATGCTTTCTCCTCTTTCCAGGAGTTTCAAGAGACTCCATCTATTTCAGGCTCACAGAATCACAGAATTGGTCTGGTTGGAAAGGATCACAGTGGGTCATCTGGTCCCACCTCCCTGCTCCAGCAGGGTTATCCCAGAGCACATGGCACAGGATTTCAACCAGACCGTTCTTGAGTTTCTCCAGTGAGGGAGAGTCCACAACCTCTCTGGGCAGTGTGTTCCGTTGTGTGGTCACATGCACAGTAAATTCTTCCTCCTCTAAGTACTTTTTCTTCTGGTAAGATGCAGACCCCTGATGTCTTTGGCTGCAGCTATAAAACTCTGTTACTTACAGGGAAAGCTGGAGTTTTCCTTCTGAAGTGATGACAAGGATAAGTTTTTCTCTCCAAGTGCCATTCATATTTATTTTCACTGGGAGTAGAATGTGGTGTCATGAACACAGCTTCAAATATTTTGAATGTCTTGCCACACAATAAAATTACCAACACATCCATCACTTAGAATTAGATTATTCTGTGCTTTATGCACCTTTTCTTAAGAAAAAAAAAATTGATTTTCAGCTGTGCATAGGCTGTGCTTTTAGTTCATGTATAATGTAGATGAGGGGAGAAGCTAGCTAGAGGCAAAATCAGAGTTTAGATTGGCTCTTTATAAGGGCAACCTTTCTTTAAAATTCCTTTCTTTTTCACTCTGCATATCACAGACATTTAAAATCCTCATTGACTCCTGAAAATACAGCTCCAGGAGGACAAAGGATGATATATTCTTAACGAGTGGGTAAAGTATAGTAGTTCTAAAGACAATAAATGCAAAGGTCACATTAGGGCAAAGCAGTTAATTACCCACTTCATTATTGTCAAGGTTAATACAGAATTTGAGCACAGAAGCTGTTTTTCATCTCCTCCTGGAAACAAGGCAAGACAGCCTCTCTCCCAGACAGATCCATTATAGCTTATCACCGCAGGACAGGCCGCTGCAGAAGCACCATGAAGGATGTCTACTGTCACCAGGCTCCGGAGCAGGCGCCCAGCCTGGCCAGAGAGCGCTGGGAATGAAATGGGAGCTGCAGCTCCAGCTTTAATTCATGGAGACTGCGCCCCATTGATTTAATGTGCGGGGGGAGCGGTAGCGTAAAATTCCCCGGCGCTCCTTCATCTGCGGGAACATTGATCCCTCCTAAATTGCACAGTGCGCCGGGAAACGTCCTTTAATAAACACGGCGTATCGACCATCGCCCAGCCGGCTTTGCCTGGGGAGCCCTGCGGGAGCTGTGCCCACGGAAGGGCTCCAGCCCGCTTTTCCATGCGTGACAAGGTGTTGTACAGGTTTCCATTACATGAGCTCGGTAGACAGAACAAAGGCCTTGGAAATCTTATCCCATCGAGCTTGGCAATGAATATTTTGCTTTTATCTGCTTTGCCTGCAGCACCTCTGAAAATTCCTTAAGTTTAAAAATGCAAAAACCAGTAAGTGGTTAAAAAAAATTCAGAAAACAATCTTTGTAAATATATCTAAAATATAGAGAGACAGAATTCCCTTCTCCTCCTTCTCATATTTTTTTTTATAAACCCTTTATAATTAGAAAAACTAGTCTAGTTCCTATGACACTAATTACCATTATATATTTTTCCATGATAGCCCTTTTCTGTTACATTTTCTTTCAAGGTTTTTGTTTTGCTTTTTAAGTTACAGTTTAAATGTCCCATCATTTTTGATTCCTGCCATCATGTATATATCCCATGAGGTTTTCCCTCTGCTCGCTGATAACAGTGCCCAGAGTCCACAATCCCAAACCAAGACCCCACATCATCAGTCCAGCTTTTCCCCTGAAGTCATTCCTCGGAGCCTGGGTGCTCCTTGTGGGCCTGGCACTGACATTAGGTTTTCAGGTTTGGGAATTTGGGCCATGATTGTGGCAGCTCCCAATCTCAGGCTTCTTTCTGCAAATCCTGTGCTTCCCAGGAAAGCCCCCAGCACACACTTTCTTTCTAGTAAATCACTAAAGGACAAGTTTACATGATACAACGTATGTTTTATTCTTTATAACATCTAACTTGATTTATTTTTTTTAATTTTGATGCTCTGCTCATTCTTAGAGAGCAATTACTTTTATTACTCCTTTACACCAATACCTTCTTTGGGATATTAATTTGTTTTTTCAGCCTAGTAAGTGGTTCTGCCCACCAGGGAGTTACACAGTGTACTTCAGAATTGTGTGTAAGCATCTTAAGTTCTATTCAGATAGCAAAACACTTGACAATGTAGAGTATTTCACAGGGTCTTGGTGAAACACTTCCTAAATTTTCTTCTCCATGGACACTACAGTTCTTTTGATAAGAATGGTGCCAGCTATTTCCTTGGAAAAGATCAAGCTGGTGTAAGGCTGTCTGATTCAGCCTGAGGGCATCTCGCCAAATCTGGCCTTCTATATAAGGGAAATGCAAAATTTTAAAACAAGCCAAAACAAATAGAAATGTTGTTGTTGTTGTTGTTAGCAATAAATAAGTATCATAATTGATAGTAATTGTTTTTCATAGTAACAAAGCACTGACTATTCAGTAGATGGTGTGCCTCTGGAATAGGTAAGTTTTATCCTCCCTTTGTGCTGGCCATTTTCATTTTCTCATGGAAAATAATCTGAAGCCAATAGAATTGCAGCCATCACACTTGCAAGTCACTGTTTGCCAGTGATCATCCTTAAAATGCTGGGAGAAAGAAAAGGGGTTTAGTTCTTAATCCCCTTAACTTCATCAGTCAGGATGAGACATCACTGAGGTCCCAGAGTTACCCAAGACAGCTTCATCAGGCTGGGGCTTCGGTGGCAAATGCTTTTTTATTTTTGAAAGTCAGAATTTCTTACAAGGTCGTTTTACTATTAGTACTATTTTTAAATCCTCATAATCGAAAAGGTTACTCCCACGCATGCAGCTGTCTGCGGAAAATCCCCAAACTGCAGGGGTTTGTCACCAGTGAATTCCCCAACATATAAACAGCTGCATTCTTCTAAATCTTCCTTCTGAAGGTGTCTGAAAATCCTGCTTCCAGCCAGTGTGTGCCTGCTTCCAGACAGCTCCTTTTCCCTGTAATGGGAAGAGACCACTCTGCTCCAGGGGCTCCCTGTGGCTACGAGGCTTTTCTGTGCAGACCCAACACGGCTGCTGCAGGAAACCTCTCCTTTGTGAGGGCCAGTCCCATGGAGAGTGTTAAATTGGCATTTTCCTCCTCAGCAGGCATTTGCACAGGGGAGCAGGGTGCCAGTTGGGTATTTCAATCTTGTTTTCAATTATAAGCATTTCATTGTTGAATGTTGCTGGTTTATTATGTGATAATTAAATATGAATGATCATGCAGTCATTCTGCCAAACAGGCTGTAGCAGAATGAAACCAATTCCTCTCATCCTGCTGAATGGCTTTGGAGGTGAAAGGAGTGATCTATTTGCTGTCCCTTATTTTTGCTGTCCTATTGTTTCAGTACCACTGGCTTCAAAATAGCAAACTAGGCAAGTAATTACGGACATAAATCAGAGGAGGGAGCAGAGTGAGGTCAGGACTGCTTTGCTTTTCGCCTGCCTTTTCCCAGCTGCCTTTTTCTGGGAGACAAAGAAGTACATTCCTATTAATTTTGTGATCTTACTAGTGATTAAATGTTTTTTTTTGACAAAGTTTGAACCTCTGAGTGCTTTCAAACAAGGCTTGAGCAGACTCACCTTGCTTAGAACAAAGGAACAAGTGCAGAGCAAGTGACCAGGCTGGGTCTGATATGCTGTGGTTGGTGTCCAGTATTCCACTTTCAGCATCTGACTTGCCTGCTTGGTTCCCGATACAGCACGGTCAGTGTGCAACACAGGCTGCAGCCCAGAGAGAGAAATCTCCTTGGGGTGACCACAGTGACTCTGTTGAAAAGCTCAGTGAGTTAAGTAAGATGCAGCCAGAGATATTTAGCCAAAGTAAATCAGCAAAACAAATGTGTTTTCAGTAGAGCCTGGCTGATTTATGGCCCTGGCCACCAATCTGTACAAGTTATTCTTGTCGGGTGTTTGTAAACGTGAAGTGGTGCTCAATGGGAGTTCCCAGGTGAAAAATGGATGCAGCCACATGTTACAGCCTTCAGGTGGTACTGGCTGAAAAAATAAAATCTTTCTTGAAGGAGAACTGTAGCCAAGCACTGCTCGCCTCCCATTCTGCCAGGAGCACCAGTATTTTGGACATAAAGGAGTAGGGATGGGTGGGGGGATTTATGGAAGGCTTTGCAATAGTGGGACACAAACGTGGCCAGCACTTGGCATCCCTGATGTTGGTTTCCCAGAGCCATGGTTGTGCACCGTGGTTTGCTGATGCTGTATGTTACAAGGAGATGGAATTAAGTATTTTTCCCTCTTTCCCCAGTGTCTTTTATGCTAAGTTAACTAAGAGGCAATCCTCAGTGGGATTCTGCTACTCAGGAACATACTGTTTTGTAAAAAAAGAAAAAACAAAAAATATTCAGTGCCTGCTTAACTATATGCTACTTTTCATTCCAGTAGTTTGTTAAAATAACACATAGAAGTGACCGCTGAATGATTTTCATTTAGCTTATCCATGCCCTGCAAATCAGATTCAGCCCGCCAGTGTGGCTTGATGTAAACAACTGAATAACAACAAATCAAAAAAATAAGTAGTGGGATTAAATGTCTCTATTGTTGGCTGCTGAACACTCACCTCTGAAATTGGGCTTTTGGAGAGTGTTTTGGGGTTTCATGCCAAATCCCAGCTTGTGGTCTGCACAGAATTTAAACATTTCTTCATGTCCTACTGTAATTATTATTGAGGGTTTTTGTTTTCAGCAATGAGATATGTGACTGAAGACCATAAGACATTGCTACAGGTATTCCTGGGTGAATCACAGACTTTTTCCTTTTCGGTGGTTTTTTTGGTGAAATACCAAATGAAAACCGGTATTTAATCAAAGCAATTTTTTTTATTCCCAGACTATTGTTCGAGGAAACAAGCCTCGAAAGGATACTTCAATCAACGGCCTGCTGGAGGAGTTTGACAATATCTCAGTGACACGCTCCAATTCCCTGCGGAAGGAAAGTCCTCCCACCCACCACCAAGGAAATGTAAACCACGTGCCGAGGCACCAGGAGGAAAATGGCTACATCACGTATTCCCAGTACTCCAGTGAGTCAGACACTACAACAGACTACGTCGTGGAGAAGTACCGAGACAAGACTCTGTACGGGGAGGAGCTGGACAGGTACTACAAGGGCGGCTACGCCGCCAAGCAGAACGGGCACATGATGAAGGTGACGTCCCGGGACATCTATTACTCAGAAGTGACACCCCTGCAGTCAGACCTCTCCAGGTTCCTCCCAGATTACCACGCACACCTGGAGACCAAGCCCAAACCGCTGGAATATGGCGGCCTAAAGCTGGAGTATCAGCGGATCCCCAGCGGATCCTCCCTGGACTACGGAGATTCCTTTCCTTACGCCCCGTCCCGAGCGTCGGTGCAGAGCGAGTGCCCCAGGGAGAGGCTGGAGTACGGTGACGGTGACTGGGGACACGGCCTGAGCAAGGATGACTATGATAAGAGGCCAAAGTCATCCTACGTGGACCCTGCGAGCCCTCAGCCAGCCATGAGGCAGAGATCCAGGTCAGGCTCTGGCCTGCAGGAGCCGGCCATGCCCTACGGAGCAAGCGCCTTCAAAGCACACCAGCAAGGACATTCCTACAGCTCCTACACCTACCCCCGCCTGTCCGAAACCGCAGCAGGCGTTCCCAAGGTAACCTGACCTGCCTGGGGACGGTGCTGCCAGGGCAGGGATCAGCCTCTCCACAAGGGGAGTGCCAAAAGTCAAAGTTAAGGGCAAGGAGCCATGCTTGGGCACACGATGCTAAGCGTGGCTGGTAACGTCCCCGAGAGTTGTGTGGCTGCTCCTTGGCAGGTGTGGAAACCCGCCCACTTCACTTAGGTGTATGAAAATGGATGTGAGGGACCAGTGGGTTTAAGATACTTATTAAAAGGTAGGTTTGGAGATGCCCATCTTCTGGGGATTTTATTTGAAATTCCCAATAAGCCCAAGTTCTTTGGCAGTTTTTGTACATTTGGGAGTTTGTATGCCTGAGGAGATCTCAGCAGGAGGTGAGACGCTGGTCTGGTTTGAATATTGGATACTTCTGTGTTTGAATTGTTACTGTGCAAGGCTGAAACCTCTGAGCTTCAGTATTTATACTGTATTTACAGCATCTTTATATTACAAAGTTTATTAGCTCTTCACTGCTCATGAGAGTAGGGGCTTATTCCTTTCCATTGCTTGGTTTTTAAGCATTGAAATTAAATCAAAGCAGCTGATCTCACCCAAGACATTTTAGATGTAGTTTAAAAAAAGGGTTGATGTGCAAGAAGGCATTTCAGCCATGTTACCTAGAAGCAGCTCCTCTACACAAATCTGTCCCTGCTCTGCCACATGAGATGTATTACCTACACAAGCTTTCCAACCCTGCTTGCAACGTGTGCTGTGACCACTTGTTCAGTTCAGAGAAGAGTGCTTTTCTCACACCTCTAGTCACATTGCCAGAATGACCTGCTTAGGCATCTAATATTCTGCAAGAGATGCATTTTCAATGTAGTTTGCACTGAACATCACTGAGTTCCCCATAGCAACGGGCACTGTGATGATAATTTTTCCAAGTCTGGGGTTGCTGTGACTTTCCACATGCTGAGGTAGGTGACTGTCAGTGGTGAGATCTGTTCTTCTCTCTAATGATACCTGAACAGTGCATTTGATTACTGGCTGTGTGCTCTGAGAACATGGTTGTGTCCTGCTGCAGTCCCAGGTCTCTGCAGATCCATGATATCCCTGTGTTGGAGGTGTGCCTGTGTCGAGCTTCCTTAGGTTTTGGCTGCTTTGCCATTACCATGGTGCAGTGCCCCATGGTAAAGGGTGAGCCATGCATTTTTCATCCCTCTTTGCACTGAAGCACAAAGCTGGGCTTTGGAGCTTGAGCGTAAATCATGGGGGAGTAGAAATGTTCCAAGGTCTCTTTAGGCGCCTTCCCAAAGCTCAGGGTGTGGTAGGAGGAGTGTGTGTGGTAGTTAACTTAGCACCAGTGTGGCATTCAGTGTGGATTCTGGAAGTGGGAGGAAAATCTGGGATGGGTTAGCTGCCATTTCCTTTATTGAAAGCAGTCTTTTTGTCAGAGTTCAGGAAGGAGAAGGACAAATCCAGTAATTCAGAGACCCTGTAGCACCTGCTTCTGCCAATTTTACAGCATTCAGCAGGGCAGAAGACAGAGGTGATTTTTACAGCATTACAGCACTTTGAAAAATATCCCATTAAAATGCAGTAACAACTTTTATTAAAAAAAAATATGCCTCTATGTAAGATTCAGTGTGAGCTATTCTTGTCCTCAGAGCATCAAAAATACTCCTACAGCCTTGGTGTATTGAAACTTGATGATTCACTGTTAAATGCGGCAGTTCAATTCCCAAACCTGTCCTCAGCTCCTGGAAGTGAATAGGAGTTTCTTGTCTTGGATGATTCTTGAAGAATCTTCGTTTGAAGGAGGCATTAGTAAGATTGTTCATCAAATGGGCTTACTAAATGAGAGTCAGATCTCAAATCAGATATTTTACAAATGAGATTGGGTTTAAAGTATAATTGGGTGAAAAAATCAGTGAAAAAGTCTGCAGGCACAAATGTGTGACATCGAAGTGCATTTAACAAGAATGTTCATTTTGGCTTGTAAATGTGAAGAGCAGATTTACTTCAGTATTATTTGCAAGTAAGAGATGTCAGATAAATGCTCTGTTTCATCATCAGTGATTTCAGTTGTTACATCAGAAGGCTTGCCTGCCCTGGGCTTGGCCACTGCTGTGCAGTGGAACCGTGGAGGTGTAGGATGCCAGAAGCTCAGATTGGCACCCTCTGACCCATCCCTGTGTCACCCACCTGCTCTCCTGTCCTGCAGACTAACTCTAGTACACCTGCATGGAGTTGGAGAATCTGCTGTGTTACCCTCACCACACAGAGTTGGTGTCTCACCTCAGTACTGTCTCACAGTATCGAATTCATCATGCCAGGTTGGCTTGTTTTTGGCCAGTCCATACTGCATGGGGGTTTTTAATCCTCCTCTTCATCACAGGCAGCCCTCTTAACTTCTGGCACCCAGCCCTATTATTTCAAAGCTCCTTTCCCTGTCTTTTTCCAGAAGGAGCTCTTTGTGACCCTCTCCTGTCCCTCTTTCAAGGGCCCCTGATGGCTGCTCCCCCTTTGCTGCCTCGTACTGCTGTAAGTTAGCAGAGGTGTCTCTCACCATTGTCCTCTGTGTCCCGCTGTACTACGGGGACATTTCCAGCCTGACAAAGGCAGGGCCAAGCCTTTACTGTCAGAAACCCCCTCCCTCTTTCCATATCTTCCCATTCATGTGCCAGCAGCTGTACTGAGTGCTGCCTGCCACCTCTGTGTGTAGAACAGGGAGTCTCGGGGATTTACACCTGCAAAGCACCAGAGAATAACCTTTGCCTTTGCGATCTCGGTGTGATTTACAGACCACCCCTTCTACACCTTTCACCTGGCAAACTGAAGCCTGATCAAATGGAAATCTTTTGCATGTCACAGAGGGGTGAGTCCATCCCACTGGGACTCAGGGATGCGGGCTCTGGGCGCAAGGCTGTGGCTGCATCTGTGCCGCAGTCCCACTGCAGAGCACATGGGGACACCCGCTCGGCTGAAAGGCTGCCCAGGCAGCCTCCTCGTGGGGAAGGGACCCCTCAGGAACAAGCAGGTGTTCCCTGTGCTTGCAGTACATAACAGGCATCACTGTCACCAGAGTGGGAGCTGGAGTGAGCTTAGGCACAGCGTTATATCCATGTTTTAATGGCCGTGTGCGGATGCGGGAAATGCCACTGTGCCATGATGGATGTCGTGTCAGCGCTTCAGCTGCTCCTTTGACCTGATCTTGAATGAGGGCAGGACTATCTTCTTCTTTCCTTTGTAATATTTAAAGAATTTCAGTTCTGTAGGTGACTGCATTCAATAGCAGAAAGAGTTATTAGTGGACTAAAGTGTGTTCGATTTTGCCATGATGTGGAGCACTGCATCAGGACACAGGCTTGGAGGAAAGCTGATTTACTCATTATAGCTCCTGACTTTTTGTAACATTTCTTGGAATTCAGGAAGTGGGTTTATATTGTCCAGCAGTGCTAACCTCAAAAAGCTTCCGAAAATTCTTAGCAAGCACATTGAACCCCTGAATTTTCATTCTAAAATTTCACTGCAGAATATTATTTTGCCAGTTTGTTAAGCTTAGGGCATACTCAGAAATACCAGACATGGGTGAAGCCTCAAATAATTAATTGGCATGGATTTATCCAGCTTGAATTTCTAGACCAGGTTTTCCCCATCTCAGTGGTTATAAAGAAAACAGTGTATTTACAGCCAAAGCAATAAATTAATTGTCCCTACATACACAGATATATAGGACAGGGTTAGATTGAGTTCCCCTCCCTCCACCAAACCATCTGAGCACTTTTCCACATTAATTAGTTTGGCAGATGTAATGTCCTTCATGAAATTGATGATGTCTCTGACTCCTTTCTATATGATGGCTGTCCCTGCCTGATGTAGTAAGGGAAATGATGGCTGTAATCATGTGGATTTTTGCCTAAGCAATCCCAGCATCCTGGGAGGCGGCTGTACAGCCCTGGGCGGTCCCGATGGCGGGTGCCTGTCAGCGTGCGAGCCTCGTGTGGAAGCAGACTCCAGCTTTTGCAAGGGAAACCTCTGAGCAGCCCCTCTGGAGAGGCATTCCCTCTTTCCTGCTAAAGCTCTCGTGGAATGAAAGGACAGGCATGCCTGGTTCACGCTGGAGGTGGGAAAGCGCCAACATAAAATTGCACCGGAGGCTTTTCTTCCCGCACCGAGGCGACTCCAGCTCCAAACTCCTCCTCGCTGTGCAGAGCCCGCGGTGATAAATTGATGCTGCGGCAGATTTTTTTTTTTTTTTTTTTTTTTTTTTTTTGCAGTCTTAGCATAAAATGGTCAAATGATGTTCCACCGCAGAATTCAATTTCACAGTTCAGTTGGGTCCTTGATTACACTGCCAAATTCAGATTAATGTGCATTTAACTAACATGGATCAGGGACTCCTGGCTGGCAGCCAGCAGTAATAGTAGCAACCGTGAGCTGTGTAGAGTTTGCTGCTCTGTCCATCCCTGTGCACTGACACTGAAATTGATTGATTAAATGAACTCATTGCCATAATTATTTGTAATTGTGCTACATGATGAGCCTGTGTCAAACCACCCCCCTGCCCTGAGATGCTCCACACATTGTCAGGAGTCACATACTGTAAATGTGAAGATGTTCTCCTTCAAAAGAAAAAAAAATAATTTTGGGGTGTTTTTTTTTGTTTTACATCTTTTGAGGGGTTTTAGTTTGGATAGAAGCAAGCAAACTGTTATGTTTGTAAATGTGAAGTATTCATTAGCCTTCAACATAAGAAGCTTAGAGAAGCTTGGAAAATACAAAAAATAGAAAGGAACCTACAAATGAACAAGGCTCCCCATTGGGATAATTTCCTTTGCGATTTTCTCTGATTTCAGATGAAAATTATCAGTTTTGTGTCACTGCAGTTAAATAGTGTGTCGCTGTGGAAAATGATTTAAAGAAATGGTGAATTGAATTAGGCTCCTCGTCAAACTCTCATAAGCAGTCACTCAAACAACAGCTGGTAGTATGGCAAGACAGGAGATGACAGGGATTTCAGGGTACCACTACCTCCACAAGAAGAGGTTGGGTTATCCCTGAATTGCTGGAGGAAAACATAAGAAAAGGCTAAGAGCTGAGAATCAAAATCCAGGTACTGGTAAGACACAAATTGGCATTTGCCAGAGGGCAAATTTTGGCTGGATGTGACAGGGATGGGATTCTTAGAGGAAATGGCCCAGAGATCCTGCAGGGCACTGCAGATGCAGAGCAAATACACTTTTTTGAGCACAGGTCCCTTCCAGCCCAGGCCATTCTGTGATTCAGGAAAGGCTGTTGAATGTACAAACGGTACCTGAACAGAAGAATGGACCTGAGATGCACAGGAGATGTCCCAGACCTGCCCAGCCTCATATGCTGAGGGCACTGCAACCCTCAGTGGTCTGAAAATCCCTGCCCAGACTGGGGCAGCAGTGCCACGCTGGGCAGGCCAGGTACAATGGGGGAGCACGTTGTGCCAGCTGTGCTGGAAACAAAGGGAGTGGAGGGTCAGGGAGAAAGGTGCTGTTCCCCCAGCCTCACTCTCCACGTTTGTGTTGCAGGTGGATTATGACCGAGCACAGCTGGTCGTCAGCCCACCGCTCTCTGGGTCGGACACCTACCCCCGGGGCCCAGTCAAGCTACCTCAGAGTCAGAGCAAAGTCAGCTACTCCAGCAGCAGCTATCAGTACCCTCTGGTCTACCACAAAGCACCCCACTATCACCAGCCGCCTCTCCAGCCCGGCTCTCCCTATATTTCCACCGCCTCCTACCCCAGCTCCCCGAGTATCACGTCAAGTGCTTATCCTCCCCCCAGCTGGGGCTCCTCCTCGGACCAGCAGCCCTCCAGGGTGTCCCACGAACAGTTCCGAGCTGCCCTGCAGCTCGTGGTCAGCCCCGGAGACCCCCGGGAGTACTTGGACAACTTCATCAAGATCGGGGAGGGCTCCACAGGGATCGTGTGCATCGCCACCGAGAAGCACACGGGGAAGCAGGTCGCTGTGAAGAAGATGGACCTCAGGAAACAGCAGAGAAGGGAGCTGCTCTTCAATGAGGTACATGGGTTTGGGTGGTGCCTCAGGTTTTTTAGGCAGCAGGTTCAGCAGGAGATAAGGGCCAAATGCTGCCATCAAAAGCCAAATTACTGTCTTTCTAAAAGAGGTGGTGAGTCCCACACACATCTGTGCTTGTATAAATACTGTATGGCCATACCACTTTCCAGTGAGCTACTTCTCCTCCTGGCTTGAAACTATAATGCTCTCACAGAATGTATCAGTGGTCTGCAGTGTATCAGGTGCTCAGACATAGCCCGGCTGCCTTTTTCTGTCTCCTGACACAGTTTTTTCTTCCGAGAGGGAGGATCCAAACTAACCAGACTGTTCCAGGGTATGTGTGCTGTGTTTCTGGCATCCACATGCTTTTTGTTTCTTCTCTCCTTCCTCCCCTAACCATCAACATTCTCTTTGCTTTATCGATGGTTTCTAAGCTAAGAGCTGACAGTCTCTTTGTTATGGAACTATCTGTGTTAATTCCCACATCTCCTTTCCTGAGTGTTTGCAGCCAGTTCAAAGCTCACACCTGCTTATGGGAGACTGTTTTCCCCATGTACGTTATTTTAAATTTCAGAACACTGGTTTCCATTTGCCATTTTTTCACCCAGTTTGTTTGGGTCGTGAGAGTACCTTCTGCAACTTGAAAGAGTTTCTCTTTTTTTTAACTTTTTATTCCCTTAAAGCATCTGGTGGGGTGTGTTCACTGCTCCCTTTTTGAGATCACTTGTTAATATCCTGATCAATACCAAAAACACTATCTCAAGGAAACCTGTGAGAATGAACCTTTTAATTCTTTCTTTTGTTTCCCATACACTATAAGTGTGTCTTCCCTCAGCACTCAACAGATTTGTTTCCTTAAAACCTTTAAAAACTTCACATTTTTTAATTACAATATTAAACAACAAATTTCACTTGGTTCTTCTATGTGCACGACTTCAGTGCACGACTGTCCTGATTATTTGGGTTTGGCTTTGCCTCTGCTGTGGTGGCTCTAACTGAGCATCTCTTGAGCAGTAACATCTTGAAGCATGTCCTACATGCTGTGCAGGACCAAGATGCTTCCCTGACATGCTCCAGTCACTCGTGTCATCTGAAAATCTCTTGTCAGCAGTGATGAAATCCCTCTGTCTGTGATGAAGCCTTGCCTGGCTGTTCTCTCTGCTGGCTGCCATTCTGACAGCCCTCAGTACCCTGTGGTCATGGACATGGTCTTGGCTGGGCTGCCCTTACTGTGGTGTCAGTTCTGTGCAGTCCCTTTTAGGTGTGGGATTGGAGTCATCCCCTGTATGACCAGCAGTGAGAGACTGGAGAGTCTGATGTCTCTCGACATTTTGGGGTGCATTTGTGTGGGGGCAGGGGCAGCTCTGGCCTTGCCCTGGCAAGGCAGTGCCCTGCTCCACGTGCCCCTAGAGCCAGGTATGGCACCAGTCCCTGGCACAGTGGGGACAATGCTCCACACCTGCCCCTGGAGCCCCAGTCCGGCCCAGAGTGGCCAAATGACTGCAAGTCCCACCTGGGGGAAGGACCCAGGAAGGCCAAGGGGTATTTAAGCCAAAAACAAGGCAAGCACATCTTGACCCTACTTTTTCTTGGACTTTCTGAGCTGTGCTGGAACCCAGGAGTTGGTGGCTGTATTTGTCCCGTTCTATATATTTTCTATCTTTCTCCTTCTTCTCATTCCCTCTTCTCAGAATTTTTAAGTAACTTAAAATTGAACTTAAAATCCAGTTAAAAGCCTAGAGTTTCCAAAGTTGAATGGGCCAAGCTAATGGGCTTTGAGAACTGTTTTACATGGATTCAGTGTTGCACAAAACCTTTTACCAAAGTTCTCTGATTTTTCTTAAGTTGCCAGTAAAGTTTTTTGTTGTTTGACCTCTTGAGAATTTCTTGTTGGTATTTCTCCTGTGTGTCTAACTCAGAGTACACAAAAACCAGGAAGCCTTTTAAAAGTTTCTTTGAGTGAGTTTTCTGGGGCCTTACTCCAGCATTCTGTAGAAAATCTGTCCAAAGTACCATTTATTACGTGATAAAAATGACTTTGGTGTGTTGAGCGATTGATCAGGTCAAAAAAAAAAAATCTGTTGTACTGAAAGCAATTGGCAATAAAAAAAACAATTAAATAAACAGGTCTGTTCCTGCAGACTGAAATAAAACAGTTATCTACTGTTTATACTCTACCAGCTAGAGATTCTTTCTTCCTCCTGATGCATTTATGACGACTGATATTTCTATGTAAATATATTGATTTTGTTTATGCACTGGCATAAGGATTAGGGAGGATGTGATTCATCACAGAACCTTCCCTTAGCATCAGTGAAAAAGAAGGTCAAAACAAGTGTCAGATTTAGCTTGTAGCATTATCAGCTCGTCTCTTTGTGCCTCTGCAGGTTGTGATCATGAGGGATTACCACCATGAGAACGTGGTGGACATGTACAACAGTTACCTGGTCGGGGACGAGCTCTGGGTCGTGATGGAGTTCCTGGAGGGCGGCGCTCTGACAGACATCGTCACTCACACCAGGTGGGCTGGGGGATGTGTACAAAATACAGAGAGAAAAACACAAAACTGCATAAAATACACATGCATGGACAATATATATCCATGTATTTTATACGTACACATAGTTAAACCCATACATGACATGATGGCTTTACTGTCATCAACAATCCAGAATTGCAGGTGCACTCCTGTGAACAGCAGCATTTGCTAAACCAAAGGGAAAAAAATACCTGAGAGGGCCTGCTGGTAGATGGGGATTTGTAAACACTTTAGGAGGTGGCTTAGCAGCAGCACAACTTTTATCCATTACCTCTTAAAATGGCAAAAAAGAAAAAAAAAATTATTTTCCCTGTTTGGTGATCTGTATTGTTGGGTTTGCTGTCATAACCATGTCTGTTCTAAGGGTAATTTCTCCTAACAAAGGTTATCTGCAAACCAAGCCTAAACCATAAGGGGAAAAGTATTTTTATATCAGAATATTTGTGCTTATGGTGGAGCACATTCCCATATTTCACTTAATATCATACCTTTAAAGCAGGAAATTAGCCAGCACAAGAGCTGCAGTGTATGGAACTGCTCTGCCTCTTCTGAGGGGAGACATTAGATTTTACAGCCCTCTTTACATCTGCTCTTTGCTCATCTGCTTCTGATAAGCTGGACAAAATGAGATAGGGAAGAGGGATTCTTTATTTAATTTATTCTTCTTGAACGAAAGAAAATTAAAATTTCCACACCAAACCAGTGGGAGAGTATGTAGGGGAGCAAGAACAAAAGTAAGAAGTTATAAATTAGAAAATCTGTCTTCTCTCCTAGTTTAATGATGCTTTTAGATCCTACCAAGAGTTATAGGTGTTTTATTCTTTAGTGTTACCTTAGCTTGTGTGCTGAAATAAATCACAATATTGCAAGTATTTGCCAAACCATTAAAAGCTCAGACTTAGATGTGTCTGACAGTTTACCACCAAACAGATGTTCCCAGGACACCACTTTTTAAGAGCTGTCATCTATTTTTTAACTCAAAATAGTCTTTTCTTAATCTTCTAGGTGTTTTTTTCTACATTGCATGACATTCCCTCAAAGATTACATACTTAATAAAATACGTAAAATACTTACATAAAATACTGCAAATGGCACACAGAATGAAAGCAGAAATCTCCACAGGTGTTCTTCTGCTGATGTGGAAGAGATGCTGGGGACAAGAGCAATGAGACAGTGGCACCAGGGTGCACAGCCCATCCCAGGCACTCCACTGTAGCTGAGAGAATGACCCCAGAATGGGGATTTTCAGCTGTGCACAGGAATGAGGACTCTTGTTTATTTTTCTACTGAAATACCCAGAATATTTTTATAGAAGGCAAAAAAGTGTTCTCAAAGAGCTACAGCTCAGGGCCTGGTGTTTTACCTACACAATTAAGAGTGTTTTTTCTCATTTATTCCAGGCCTGTTTCCATCCCAGTAGTGATGCTGGCTTGGCAAGCAGCAAGCTCACTGTAAATAAGGCATTTCTGTGATTTCCCAGAGGGAAACGGGCTCCAGCACATGGCACACTCAGCTTTTTTAGTGCTGCAGGGAGACTGATCCAGGCCTTGCTGCAGGGCTGATCCCCACACCTCATCTCCTCTTTCTTTTGCCAGAAATAGGACCAGAGATTAACCCCCGGAGACACTGCCTAACAGATCTCCTGTAGAGTGGTGTGAATGTGAACTCCTGCCTCTCCACATCCCCTCTCCCCATCTTCCCCAGCACTCAGCTGTTTTATCCCATTGCTGTTGCAGGATGAACGAGGAGCAGATCGCCACGGTGTGTCTGTCCGTGCTGAGAGCCCTGTCCTACCTGCACAACCAGGGCGTCATCCACCGCGACATCAAGAGCGACTCCATCCTGCTCACCAGCGATGGCAGGGTGAGCCCCCGGCCCTCCCAGCTCCCAGGGCTGCCAGGACAATATCTGTGCACAAAGGGGCACTGCCTGGAGAAAAAAATAATACAGGCATGGGGAAGCGTGGCGTGGGACCCACAAATAACTTGTTAGAGGGTGTGAGCAACTTGTGAGAGAGCTGAATCCAAAAAACACAAGCCTGGCCTCACTGGTGACGGGCATCTGTGCTGCAGGCAGAGTCTTTGGGGAGGGACTGGAGCCTCAAATTCACTGGCAGAGGAAGCTAGGCAGTAAGGACAATGGTCAGATGATGGGAGACCTCCTTTTGGGCTGCACCACTCCTACCCTCTCAAAAAACACTTCCTTTTTACCACACTTAGTTATCATTTGCTGTTTCTGTACAAGTGCTCTGCTTCCCCAGTTGGGAAGTTGGGAACCCCAACATCAATCTATGTAAATAGGAAATAATCTGCATTACTGCTGAAACCCTCCCCAGATGGTAGAAGTGGCTTTCACACTTCCAAGATGCTTGATAAAACCTGTCCCACACTTCCATTTATGTTACTTGCTCTGTCTTTCTGTTGTTAATGAGCAGAAAGAGAAGGGAACAGAATGCTGCACTTGACTTGCTCAGTAAACAAAACGTAGTTTGCACACAAAAAATTGAGGGTTGCTCCACTGGCCTTACACACCTGTCTAAGGCAAGACCTGGGAGGTTGGACTGAGCCTAAGGGCTTTGGTTTGGAGCCAGATCCAGACCTTCCCCTTCTGAAGGTGAAACTCTTGGCTTCCCAGGCCTGGTCTGACTCCGTAGCCAAAGGCTCGCCTGTCTAATTTGATGCCCACTTCACCGAGGGAGAGGGATTTTCTTCCTGCAGCAGTCACAGGCTGCTCCCGTTAATCCTGTCAAGGAAAGAAAATCCCACGTGTGTAGGAGTTTTTCAGTTGTGATTTCAGTTCATGTTGCTGAAATAACATCTGATCTGCACTCAGGATCTGCATACAGTACCTCATTATACTCATTACTCCAGTCCTTATTATCTGCATTGCAGATTTCTTTATGGCTGTGTTGTGCAATTATCTTTTTTTAGAAAATCGTCGTCTTTTATGTACTCGAATGAGCAATAGATATGCAAAACCTCTTGTGCTCCTACAAAATAAGATTGGGCTCTGCTTCCAAAATATGCATTATTTCTTCCATTCTTCATCCTGTAAACTGAAAAATACATTTAGCGTGGAGGACTTGGCTATTATTGGCTTTGTTTTAGAAATACCAACAATCATTTCATAATTCTGTTAAAAATAATACCCATAACTTTTTAAAAAAGTAATGTCTGTGCTGAATCCAAAAGAAAAGGAGTGCTGACAATAAGTCTACACAAGGCAGGGATTTATGCAGCTTCCCACTCCAGTTGTCCTGGGGCTGTTTGGGCACACTTTGTATCCCCAAACACGGAGTGCTTGATGGGATACACGGCCTGTGGACCTTGGGCATGGGTCACCATTGAACTGTGAGTGATGGAGGTTAGAGAAATGACCAGGAAAATCCCTTTGAGAGCTTCCAGGCCTCCAGATAAGTACTCGGGGGGTTAAAGTAAAGATTTTAGCCTTAAGGAACAAGCTGCTTCTGGAAGGGGGTGATGCCACCAACCCTCAGACCAGCTTGTTGTGGTTGGAAGTTGGAGGAGTTTTCACCTTGGCATTGTACAGCGACAGAGAGGGGGAGGTAATAATTTTCCATAATTTTTGTTGTTAAAAAAAAAACTGTCATAAAAGTGTGAGCCAGGCACATGATGCAGCAAGAGCTGCTCTCCGGAGTGCTTGTGTATCCCATTATTTCTATTTCAGGTCACTGCCACAGCTGCTCAAGGACAGTACTAATTCCTGAGTTCCCAGGCTCAGAGAACAGGTTAACTTTTTGGCAGGGAGTCTTGTATCCTTCCCAGCTTCCTTCTCCAGCTTAGCTCTCCTGCTGCATAAAGATGGCAGCTTCTTCAGTGATAGTCCACAGCGTGAGGTCCTGGGCTTGACAAAACATTGGCAGGGGTTTTATTTTCTGTGGGTGATAAAAGGGAGTGGGGTGAATGTCACTTGTTTCCCACATTTTCTGGCAAACTCAGAGATTGTACAAACTACAGGAGGGGTGTTCATCACTTGGAATATGTGTATTACTGGATAGCACATGCATAACTACAAACCTGGGGGTTCTGTTTGGAATATTTTGTTTTTCTTTTATTTTTAAGTGTTATAAGCCATTTATCACCTCCACATCCCTTGCTGGTGGAGAGGCAATGGGCTGTGACAGATGATATCAGGAATGAGCACCACTGCCACTCTCCTACATCTCCCCTTCATTTTGATGAGCTGCTTGTTCCCCAGGCTGTGCTCCCATCTCCAGACACTCCTCCACAGCTGAGTTGCTGTCCTGTCCCAGGAAAATGCTGCAGCTCCGTCTCTGTCCCTGCAGCTGCAGCTGCAGCTGTGTCTTGGAAGAGTTTGTCCTGTTAATCAAGAGGGGCTTTTACTTCTTCTTTTCACAGATAAAATTGTCTGACTTTGGGTTCTGTGCCCAAGTGTCAAAGGAGGTCCCCAGGAGGAAGTCCCTGGTTGGAACCCCGTATTGGATGGCGCCAGAGGTGATATCCCGCCTGCCCTACGGCACTGAGGTGAGCACAGCGGGCACTCCAGAGGGGATATCCCAACTCCCTGTGGCACTGAGGTGAGCACAGCGGGCACTGCCACAGGGAATATCCCAGCAGGGGATATCCCAGCTCCCTACAGCACACAGGTGAGTGCAGCAGGCACTGCTGGAGGGGATATCCCAACCTGGTGGAGCTCTAGCAGAGCTGTGCAGTTCAGAAGCATTTGCACAGCTCTGCTAAATAGCAGCAATTACATTTGCCCTACAGTGCTGCATCATGGCTAGTTTGAAAGTATTTCCCCAAGATGAAGTTATTAAATAACAACTCCATTTAGCACTCTTAGCAGTGTAAGGCTTTTACATATTTCTTGGGGCTCGGGGTGCTGTAGTGAAGGAAATCGGCCTCATTTGCACACTGTGAAAGGCCCTTTGTTGCTCTTTAATGTCAAGCCTGCAGGCTGGAGCTACAGTCACAGGTGCACACCCGCATGTGCCAAACAGCAGCCACCTCACACACCCCTCCTGCACAACCTGGTCCCATCAGTCCTTGCACAGGGCCACTCTGCTTTCATCCAGCTAAAGCCTGCCATTTCCTTCCTCTGGAGAAGTGCCAGCGGGTCCTGGAGGGTCCCAAACCCGGGGCCAGCTGGGTGGGTTGCATTGCCACCCTCTGTGGTAGGTTTGGACTCCACATGGGCTCATCCCTTGCAGTCATTGCTGTCATCAGTTGGGAGACAGGGGCAGGAAAGCACCTCTGTGGGAGCTGTTTCAGGCACTGCCAGATGTTCTGAGAAAGGCAACACACATTTTTACTGGAACCCTTCAGAGGAGCCCAGCAAGGTGGGGGTCCCAGCAGCTCTGCAGTGCCATTCCCCACCCATTGGGCAGCTGTGAGTCACGGCACTCCTGGCCTGGCAGCCTGGGAAGAGCAGTGCCCTGCACTGCGCTCAGCTGTGACAGTGACTCACACCTCCCCAGCGGGGACACGGCTGCCTCTGCTCCTCTGGGGGGGACAGAGCTGCTGCCTGAGAGTGCTGAGAGGAACAGCTGCAGAGCTCCACCCTGCCAGCAGACAGAGCCAGGGACACGGGTGTGCTTACAGCTGCACATACACATAGCTCTGTAGAGTACAGATATCTAGAAATACAGACAGACACAGGGAAGGGGACATGAGCTGAGCAGGAGCTGCTCCATCCTCACACTGCTCTGGCATGGCACAGTAAGAGCACCCTGCAGGCACTGCCCTCCACCCAGGATCTGCGCTGTTGTAGAAGACATTCCAGAGATAATAACATCAACTATTATTAGCACAGTAATAGCTTAGGGAGATTATAAATTGGCTGAACTTAGGGCTACATTAAGTTTCCCCACCAGAAGGGAAAGGGAAAAAAAACGGATTTAAGCTAAAGGATAGTGCTGCCAAAAAAGCAAAAGCAGAATGAACTTGCCCTGGCTGTATTTGGGCTGGCAAATGACAGGAATTACAGTCATCAAAGGATTTGGATTCTGGAGCAGCTCTGCAGCCAGCCAGGGCTAAGACAAAAAAAAATTTTTTTTTTTTTTCTTTTTTTTGAGCTGGAGCTGAATCACTTTCTGAAGGTCTTACATAATGTGCTACCTGTGCTGGCTGTAAACAAGCCTGGGTGTAGCAAGTGTATGCATTTGCCTTAGGGTCTTGAATGGAGTTCTCACAGTCTTTAAGCTTCAGGGAAATAGAGTAAGTGATTCCACAGCAGGTGAAGTGTTACCCTGCTCTCCAGCAGCTGCAGAGCCAGCCTGGGGTTGGCATTCAGTGGGTGCAAACCAGTGCAGCTGGAATGCAGGGCAGCAGGACACAGCCTCTGCAAGGCATGGAGCTTCCAGTGGGCAGCACCTAAACCAGCTGCAGACCCAGGTTTGTAAGCCTCTGCTAATCTGTTGTGTCGATGCAGTCACTGCTCGGAAGGAAAATCACGGCTGGTTAAAGAAGGAAGATGGATGTGCTGGATCTCCAGACTGCTGGCTTAGGCTGGCATGAGCCCGCTGCAGGGCTTGCACAATCCCCAGTGCTGAGGCCCCCTGCAGTGCCAGCAGTGCTCATGAGCCCCGTGTGTGTTCCAGGTGGACATCTGGTCCCTGGGCATCATGGTGATCGAGATGATCGATGGGGAACCCCCCTACTTCAACGAGCCGCCGCTGCAGGCCATGCGCCGCATCCGGGACAACCTCCCGCCCCGCGTGAAGGACATGCACAAGGTCAGCCTTCCCTTGGGGGTCAGGGCTTTGCACAGTCCCATGCTCAGTAACACTGCAGGCACACACCCAAATGGTAACTTACGTCTCTAAGGAGCCACCCTGGGCAGTGGGTCCTGCACAGGACTCCTGTGGGGAGGAAGTGAGGCCAGAGCCATCAGTCATGGCCCTGTTTGTGCCTAACCCTGGCACTGCTTTTGCAGCCAGCAATGGCAAAGGGAGCCAGGCACAGCCTCATGTTCCCTGTGCTTCCCATCCTGCCTGAGGACCAGAGCAGCTGAGCTCACTGGCCCTGCTGCAGGTGAGTTGGTACATCCATGTGAGGTACCTTTGGGCACCTCCCAGTTTGGGTGTGCTTCCATCAGACCTGAGCCCTCAGCCTACCTTAATGCTGTTCTGCACCCCAGTGACACCCAAATGCTTCAAACATCAGCGGCACAGCAAAGACCCACAGCCCTTCAGCACAGCTGTTGCAGTAGGGAAGATCACTGTCCCTTGTCTTCCCAGGAAAACAGCATGCACAGAGCCAGCATAGGTGGAGTGTTTTTGTCCCTCCCTGATGCCAGTGTGGTATTTCAGGTCTCCTCGGTCCTCCGGGGCTTCCTGGACTCGATGCTGGTGCGGGAGCCCTCGCAGAGAGCCACGGCACAGGAACTGCTGAGACACCCCTTTCTCAAACTGGCTGGGCCCCCCTCCTGCATCGTGCCCCTCATGAGGCAGCACAGGCATCGCTGAAGCTTTTTGGGAAGAGGTCAGTGCAGAGCCTGGCTCATGGCGTGTGGGATCCGCAGGCAGGGAGGAGGAAAACCTTGTGAAGGAAAGCAGCCCTGTGGAAATATCACGGTGTATAGAGAACCCCAAAGCCAGGCAGCGCTCTCTGTGCTCCCGCTGTGCCAGGGACAGGGAGCAATCCCAGCCCTGCTCCGCCAGGCACCGGCGCTCCCAGCACTGCTGTCTGCCGGGCCAGCCGGGCAGAAGGCACCAAACGCCAGCGTTGGAAAGGTAATTTAGCAGAGGAGAGCACAGCCAGAGCAAAACACCTGAACTTTACTGCAGGCTATGGCACTTCTGTTTCAGAAGAACACTTTTCTGACAAAACCAAGCACTTTTTATCTCGGTCAGAGCAGCGCAATGTATTTTGCAACAAGTTTGTAATTTTCTGTACAGTACATTTTGATAACTTGCAGTACTTTGTCATGTAACTGTTGTGTTGGTTGAAGTAATAAGTGTAACCTAGCGAGAATTTGAAAAGATGAAGTTTCCTACTTTTTTTAACCCTTTTGAAAACAGGAGAAAAAAAAAAAAGAAAAAAAAAACCACAACCACCTTTAGGAAGTTGTAAGGTTTTGCAGACTTCCCATGGGGCAAGGAGGAGGCTCATCCCACCCTCAGGGCAGCTGGAAGAGCCAAGGACAGCTGATGCTGGCAGGGGCACCTCCCTTGGGGCACTTTGTGACAGTGGCAGCCCCTCCCAGCTTTGGCCCAAGGCCTCCCCCAGCCTTGGCCCATCTCTCTTCTCTTTTTATGCCACCACAAGGCCAGTTCTGCCACCAGAGAAGCCTCCATGATTTCTGTCACGCTCTGGCTGTGGAGAGGGAGAGCAGGAGCTCCTCCTTCCAACCCCAGAGGGAGCACCAGAGCTCAGGCAGAGCCGTGGGATGGGATGAGAGGGGTTGGGATGTGCTGCCAGGCGTTTGCCATAGAGGAGAAGTCGTGCTGCTGTCTAGACCTTTCTGAATGTTGATGCAACAGTTGACTACTGCAGTACAATTTTGTGTTATTTGTTGAATGACTTTGCATGTTAACTGTAGGCCTAAATAGATTTGCCTTTAAAATTTTTAGAAGTGCTTCATAATTATTTCAATGAGAAACTAATTTTATTTATTAACGATTAGTTGTTTTTAATTATGTATAATACAAAAGCCATGTTTTTCAAGTTTGGTTTTTTTTTTTCTTACTGACCTCATTTTATGGTATCTTTAAGAACCACAAAGCCAACTTTGTGAAAACACAGTTTCTTTCTTATTACGGAATTTCATAGTTAATAAATTAATTGTTATTTATTGTAGTAAATTATAACCAAACATCTAAACCTGGCAGGAGCTGTTGCTTAAAGATCTTCCTCTGGGAGAAAAGAATTGCCAATAGTAAAGAAGCTCCTTCAGTTCTGCTCTTAAAGAATATTTGGAGGGAGAGAAGCAATTTAAAAAAAAAAGTGAAAAAGGAGGTAAGGATGATCTGGAACATGGAATAGCTGTTCTTACATCAGTGTCTTACCCCACTGCTCTCTCTCCCTACCCCTGTTTGCACATTTGAAGAAGACACTGAAGAAAATGTGTTTGGCTCCTGCCACCCCCCAGCTCCCAGAGCCCACCGGGCCAGGAGCACCCACAGCCTCCCAGGGCTCTTTTGTAGTCTTGACAACTCAGGAAACCAGGCTGCACCAGTCCAGGCAACGGCACAACTTAGTACTAGCCACAAAATTACCTTTTTTAACCATCTTTGAATAAAAAAAGGGGTTGGTGGGGGTTTTTTCTTCAATATTCAGCACATTTTAGGCTGTACAAGTGAAGAATTTTCTGCAACTTTCTTATCATTAGATACTTTAAACGGTGTTCATCAAGTTTACTGAGAGTTTTGTCAATTTCAAAGGGTTTTTTTTTGGGAACACCAGCTACTGGTGAGACAAATGCACATGCAAGTTAAATAAATTAATTAATAAACACTTCAAGTTTCAGTGTGGGTTTTTTTTTCCCCCGTGCCTTTTTTCTACTTTATAGATTTGACTCAGTCCCACAGTACTGGACCAAGCAGATAATAAAGAAAAAATGTGTTATATAGATACAGATACTTACATATATATATGATACACATGTGTGCAATACCACATACATATATATAAATAGAAATAGTGATTTATAAAGCTGTGCCAATTATATTTAAACAGAAATAGTGATCTGTCAGTGCATTTCTACCTTCCTTTCTCTGCCCCCTAAATAATCCCTTTCTTCTTTTGCCTTACACATCCCTGATTTTTAGCTCACAGCTGTTGTTCTCTCACACCTACTCACAGCAATTCCTCCCAGTTTCCCCAGCAGCACCAGTCAGCTGATGAACCTACAATTTTATTTGCTGTCTTCAAGTCTTACAAATGAAGATTTCCATTACTTTTGGTTTCTGACATCAGTAAATACTTCAAAATACATTGAAAAAAAATGTAATGTCATCACCTAAAAACAAACAAGTAAGGTGTGTGAAGAGCATCTGTTCACTCAGAAACTGAGGCCATGCTCCAGGTAAGGTGGCTGATAATGAAATTATCCCACCTGTCACTAAGGAATTTCTTTTTATGAGCTTTTTCTGAGCTCACAGTTCTAAAACTACTCCCAAATACTCCTAATCATAGTAGCAGAGGCCAGAACTGTTACTGGCTATGTCAGCCCCCTCCTCAGCAATACACCAATAATTTATAATTAAAGTCCTAATCACAAGTACTCTGTAAGTCATTAGCAGTTGCTTTAGTGAGTGCTTAATTATTACAGGTCCTCACAGAGCTCAGTAGGGTGATAAGGTGTATTTATCCACCTTCCACTGCTGTGTTCATAAACATCTATAAAGCAAAGCTTTCAATTTGCAGCTCACCCATAAAAGCCATCAATAAATGAAAGCTAAATACAAAATTAAATCACAACAAAGTGCTGCCATTCTCAAGATGCTGCTGCAGTTTGACAGGCAGGAGGGAAGCTGGACATAATCTCTCTCAAATAATTTTTCACAAATAGGTTTGAAAAGCTTAAAGTGATGGACAATTCAGATCAATTTTAGTAAATATGAGCAAAAGGATGGAGAGAATTAAAAGATTTAAAAGGTTTTCACCCAAAACCTTAAATAACTTCTTTTTCAACCAAGGTACATCAGTCTGAGACACAGACTGTCACTGAAATGAAATTATTGTTTCTTTTTCCTTTCTTCCCCAAAAAGGAAAAATATTTCAGTCCAACAACAACAACAAAAATCTGTCAGTTCAGAAAACCAAGAAATTAATTCTTGCATTCCTGGAACTCTGTTCCTAACAGCTTACAGACAGACACACTCTCCCCTTGAAGGTGATGCCAAGTGCTTCCTAAGGGAAACCCTCCTCTGACATGAAAAGCAGCAGAAGTCCTCCAAGCAGGCACAGGAGCAGCATCAGCTTTTGGGGGCGGTTTTCCCAGTCCAGGGCCATTGCCACCACCTCAGTGCTCTGGGGTCAGGCAGGGACAGTCCCTGTGAGTGGCCTGACAGGGTCAGTGCAGGATGAATTAAAAACAGTTCACAGAGGCCACCATAAATCAGCCTTTTTTCCATCTTAAATCCACACAGATGTTTGGGAGCATCTCTGTGTTACAGCAGGCAGGTCTTGCTCACACGGTGTAACAGGAGAAGCCACACCAAGGGATGGAAACACACCAGCAGCTTTACCTGGACAAGGCACAGCCACCTCCCAGGGCAGCCTGGGGATGGCGTCCCCAACCACTGCCTCTCCTGCACTGACACTCTGCAGCTCAGCCAAGCCCCAGGTTCTGCTGCCTTCAGCAGCTCCATGTGAACCCCCTGAACTTCCCCCCTCGTCCAAGGGAGGAAACCAGCCAGGTGGGAATGTCCTCCAAGTGACCGGGATGGCTCCAGTTGGGTGCAACTTCTCCCATCTTTCCCACAGCCCCCTTGCCAGAATGGCTTATCCAGGAGCCAAAGGGCAGTGGAGGGGCTCCTCTGGCATCTCTAGCTCAGCTGTTGGCTTCCTTTTTGTATTTTGTATTCTTTGGGATGGCACAGTGGCAGATGTGCCGGGCTGATGGGAGCTGGCTGGGAGAGCCTTCCTGGCCCCAGGGCAGACAAGGGTGAGGCAGGACAAAGCTCCTCTCTATTAAGGATGAACCTTTAATCCTTTTATTCACCCTCCTGCTATGTCTGGCTTGTTCTAACTGCCTCTAAAAGAACCTTCTATTTGCTTTTTTAATTATCAGCCTATTGTAGGCAGTGGCACTTGGTCAGTCTAAAGCTCACCCAGGACCCTTTCACTGGTTTCTAAAGAAAAAGGGCAAAGCCACTGTCATCATTAGTGGCATAATTTTGCCTTTTGCATCCAAATGAGAAAACAGCTGAGCATGGCATAGAAATGAGACCAAGAATAAGGCAGGACTAAAGGAAGGCTTATGCTGCATCCACCTTCATCAGAAAACCCATAAATTTTGAAGGAGACAACAGCATTAAAGAACAGTTAAGTTTCTTCTCTTGCCTTTTCCAACATTGAAATTACTATTTCTCTTTAACTGAGTTTTAAGCTGAAAGAAAACAATCAAGCCTCTGAATTAAATCAGTTTCAGAACAAGTGTTTTCCATACCCTAAATTGACACAAGGCCAGGAGTAACTCCTGCTGAGCTAACACCGGAGCCAAGGGGAGTCAAAGGATTCAGTGGGAACTGGACGGTACCAGAATAAAACACATCACTGCCCACACAACACACAGGAAAAACAACCAAGAGATAGAAGAATATTAGGGACAACCAACAAATCACAGAATACTGAACCACCACCGTGTCTTCACCAAGCCATTTGCAGCAAAACCACTGCTGGAATAAATCCTACATGTGACATCCACTCAGATGATGTATTGGTGTTCCAATTCCATTGGGATCATGGAGTGAGTACAAAACATTACATCATTTCAAATTAAGAAGGCAAATCAAGCATTATATATGCACATGTTTTAATTAATTTTAAAAATCATCTACATTTAAGGATCGATTTCAAGGGTTCCCTTATATTTTTTCTGTTACATTAGATTATACCTGAATAATCTGCATAGTGACTTTAACATTACTGTTTTCTTTTTCTCTTGTTTTTTTTTTTTTGTTGTTGTTGTGAAAAGTATCAGTTGCAGGTAGCAATGTAACATCTCAACCACAATCACAATACGTGCAGGATGCCCAGCCAGAAGCATTTCTCAGTTGACTTGCAGTAGCACAGCACTTTATAATTTGCGCATCAATACTTTTTTTTCTTTTTTTTTTTTCTTTTTTTACTAAGTTTAGTTCAGATGTGGCTCAAGAAGCAAAACCAAACTTTCTTCAGTCAGTCTCAAGTGTGGGGTCAGCTCCACAGCTGTGATCTGCTCCACTGGAGTTACTGACCTTGAATTTTTTTTTTTTTTTTTTTTTTTCCAAAGCACACCTGCATTTGCCTCCATGCTTAACATGAGTGCAAACTTAGGGATGTGTTTTGAGTCCCTTCATTAGAGGGCCTGAATGCACCCTGTGCAATGGCTCTGCCTCCCAGCCCTGCTTCCTTCACGGACAGGAACGTGGAGGGCTGAATGCTCCGAAGGTGATACAGGGGGAGGTAAGAATCTCTTGAGATGGGAAAGAGGGGAAAAATAAATAAAACAAGAAAGCTAATTGTGCTTCCAGTGTGAAACTCTGACATGTGAAGCATTTCTGTTTCCAGATGATCAACCCAGCTGCTTAAAGAAGGTATTCAAACCACCTACAGACACCTCAGACAAGTCTCCTTACAGAGTCTGGGTTAAAGCCAAGCCTTAGCCTGAGCGTTTCCGTGAAATACTCATGATTAGGTGCTGTGAATACCATCCCTTGCCCCCCCAGAACCTTTCCTTGCCCACAGAAAAAAGTGCTTTTGCTTTTTCTACCTGATAAAAGCTCGGGTTGCTCGGTCCTGCTCCCTATCCCATGTGTTTGTACTGAGATCTGTCCCGAGGGATCTGCACCTGGCTGGCTGTCAGCTTGTGGTGGACATGGTAAATGCCGAGGGTGATTACGATAACCAGCCCCAGGATCAGCCCCAGGATCAGGGGCAGGGTTTCTTCCAGCTGCTCCCTCTGGTCCACCGGGCACTTGTGCTCTGCAGGGGAAGAAAGAGGGGAAAGAGGGACGTGGGCTGAAAGCTGCTGAGCTGCGCTGCTGCGGTGGCTCCCCAGTCACAGCTCCACACAGGACGGAGCAGCCACGGCCGCCAGTGGAGCTCCGGGGAGAAAATCAATTGCTTTGGAGCAAAGTGGAATCAGTCACAATGCAAAGATGCAGGGAGAAGCTACAGCTATCAAAGCAGCCCATGCACTGGAAAAACATTTTCATACCCATGAGCTCTGCCCTCTCTTGCCACTCATCGATGGCCTCGCTGGGGATGGGGCAGCCACAGCCTGAATTTCCTGAGTGGCTGAAGAGCTGCTTTGTTTTTATTCAGTTAAAGAGTCTGGCGAGGCCTCAGCATCAATAAGCCTTTAATCCTGCACCAAACTCACCCTGCCCATCATCCAGAGATTCCCCCTCTACCTGCAAGTTGGCAGAGCTCCAACAGCTTCGCTGCCCCCTCTCTGTGAGCTCCCCACAGACACAGCACCGGCCCTGGCAGAGCGCACACGCGTGTGTCTGTGTCAAAGAGCACCCCAGCACCCCACACTGTCACTCAAATACGGCAAAGGAGGAGTAGAAGCAATATGAGCCCTGCCAGTGCTTTTGTCTCTGGCTGATGAGCCTCTGCCATAGCCTAATAAACCACAGAAAATAGCGATACAACGGGAAAATACTTTTCTATTGAGCTTGGAAAGGCCACTAAGGTCAGGAAATACGATACACCGGTAATCCTGGCTCAGCTCCTTTACACTTCCAGAATCTACTGCAGGCCTGAGTGACAGGATCATGAGGCACTCTTTTCCTCAGGATTGTTGCTTCTCCGTGCTGATGGACAGGCAGAGCCCATGCTGCTGAGATGGGACTGCCAGGCTGAAAAAAAGAAAAATGCCAGTACCGAGAGAAAATAAAAAAGGGTACGTGATACAGGAAGGACAATTCTCTGGCTCATGTTCTTCATTGTATTAGAAATGTGCTGAAAACAATGACAACTTTAAGGAAAAAAAAACAAACAAGGGAGAAAATAGAAAGGCTGTGTGTTAGATGAGTGAATACAAAGGGCACCATGAATTCCCCCTCTTGCTGAAGACTGTCCAGATGGGTTCCCTGGGCAGCTGATTGCAGAGATCTGCAATAACCACGAAGAGCAAATGCTCCACAAATCTAACAGCATGTGGCAAAGAGCAGGAAAAACCCAGAGACACCCCAGGCCCAGGCAGGAGGCGACAGCAGGGACCCATCTCCAGCGGTGCCGGCACCTCCAGGAGCTTCACCGCGTCCTGGAGTGCAGCCACCTCCCAGTGATGCCATCAGGAAACATTTCAAGCTGTAAATGAGGTGCAACAAAAAAAAAAAAAGAAAAGTGAAACGTAGTCTAATACAGAAGAATGTCCTTTTCAGTTCCAGTTGCTCACTGTTTCACCAGAGGAGTGATTAATCACCAGGACTGTGGCACAGGCAACTCAGCAATTGCTGCAATGCAGGGGTTTTGTTTGTTTGTAGTAAGGAGAATGGGGAAAAAAAAATCCTGATTATTATTTAGCTCCCAAAATTGGGCTTCTAGTGCTCTGTGGAATTGTTCCCAGTTTAGGATGCTAGGGCCTGGGCAGCTCACAGGTACACAAGCCCAGGCTGAGCTGACTGCAGGAAAAGCCTCGCACAGAGCAGTGCTGTGGGGCCAGGGATGCTCTGACCCCTCTCCCCACAGGTACAAAGCAGCACCATTCCCATGGGAAGGATCCAGGAGCTCCTGTGCACCCCCCACACGGCTGCAGACAGGGTGTGCTGATGTGCCAATGAGCAGGAGATCACTGTGGCTGGACACTGATTTTTGCTTTGAAAGTGGCTTAGCTTAAACCCTACAGAAGAAGGAAAGCAAGCTGCTGGAAACCCAGCTGAGAGGATTCCCCTGTGCTCAAACACACTGAGTTTTCCGCTCACCTTTCCCTAAACGGGAATGCTCCAGCATTTGCAGGAGAATGGGATGGATGTGGAGGGCAAAGCTAAAAGCACCAGTGCAGAAAACAGACCCAGCTCCAAAGCACCCACGTGTAACACTTGAATTACACCAAATTTTGCCACAGCAAACTGGCTGCTGGGCACAAAACACGCCAGAGATCCGTGGTCCACTGAAAGCCACAGCTGTGTTTGTCTGTGTCATGACTCAAAAAGGTGTCAACTCCTGCAAGCAGCCAAGGAGGAGAGTTCTTTATCCTGACACTATTTTGAAGAGGATTAAAATAAAATAAATAAATAAAGCCAACAGGAAGGAAAAAAATATAAGCCAAGCAAAGCTGTCAGTCTCCAGCAGCACATCCCCAAATCCAGCTGGACCTGCTGCACACCTCCTCAGGCAGAGCAGCTGCCCCTGCCCTACCCACATTTTCTCCTTACCAGAAACATCCATTTTTGTCCTTTTGGAGCAGACCACCAAAGCCTGGGCTCTTTGGAGACTGCTGGGGGAATGGGAATGGGGGGACCCAGCATGGAAGCACTGGGAAGTGCTAAACACAAACACATCCGCAGCAGAAGTGAGGCTCTCTGGGTGCTGACTGCTAGGAGGATGAATTCTCTATTTTAACATTAATATAATGTTAAACCACATCATTTTATGACAAACAAAAATATTTTCACATTTATAACAATGTACTTTAACACTTATACAGCATTTTTCACCCCAAGGATTCAAATGAAGCATTTTTCACCTCAAGAATTCAAACTAAATTGATTTGAAAAGGCACTGAGGTCCACAACACAGCAGGGAGGCAGGCAGCAGGTATCATTCCTGCTCCATCAGCACAGGAAAAGGCAAAGGAGGAACAGGAGGGGAGGTTTTGCATAAAGGGTTTGCATAAAGTCCATGACAGACAAATTTGGACATTCAACCCCCTCAAGTATGGGTAGGTTGATGCTTGACGAATGAAGAACCACTGCACTGAGAACAGCTACGATTTCAAAACTAATGACCCTGCAGGAAAACAGCCCCTTCTGTCAAATTTTCCCCAGTATTTCGCTCCAGGTTGCAGGGAACTCAGCATTTCCCAAATTACTGGGGTTTACCCTCAGTCCAAGGAAGCAAAAAGGTTCCTGGCAAGTTCAGACAATGCTGGGAGTTTTGCTGCATCCCGAACACAGCAGGGCCACCCCCTTGCCAGGGTGGTGTCACCCCCAGTCCCTGCCCCGCGGAACACCCACTGCAGAGGGATACAAAGGAGGTGTTAAGGTACGTTCCTCCGTGTTCCTTTGTGCTGTGCCTCCTCCCAGGCTCACGTACTGCCACGGTTTCTATGGTGAGTGCTCGTCCAATTCCAGTACCAGGCTGTGAAACCACCTAAGAACCCATTTTCCTCTTCCAGAATCCTGCAGAGCAAACACGGCAAAAAACCCAGCAAAAGGCGCAGCGCCCTCCCGCAGGCACGAGCGCGAGCCTGAGCATCAGTGCTGGGATTGTCCAAGGGGGTGGAAAAACAGCCCAGCTCTGTCTGGCATGACAAGATTTTTGAGATTTTGAGACGGGTGTTTTTAAGTAAATAGCTTAATTTTTTTTTAAAAAAAAGAAAGACCAGGTGCTTTTTAAAAAGTGGTCGCATGCCTTGGCGAAAAGAACCCTTGAGGAAAACGTGGCCCTCGAGCAAGAGGTCTCATCTGCCTCTGAGCCACCCCAGGATCCCAGTCCCTGATTCTCAGCCATTGTATACCTTTGTATTAGTATTTTTCATCATATTGTTTTATATTAGAATTTTTAGATATAAAATCAAAAGAGCTGACAGTATCTCTAGGGTTCTTTCATCAGTTTAAATCTTCTCACACCCTCTTGATCCAGCTCTCATTTTACTCATCTTCTAAGCTGAAAAATGTACACACATTTTCCCTATTAAAAAAAAATAAATTAGCAAACTCTGAATGAAAGAAAAAATTCTGCTCCTTCTGTATTGAAAAATAAAAATGTAGATAAATAAATAAAGGTGGATTTGTGGATTTGAAAAAAAAAAAAATTCTAGCACGTGAATTTAAGCATTCAAAAAAACAAAACAAATAATTCCCTACAAGCTTTTTAACCTAAGCCTACCAGGACAGTGTCTAATGAAGAACTAATGAAGAAACCAGGGCTAATATCAGGACTAATGAAGAAACTTTTCCCCCGTTTCTTTGTGGAAAAAAAGGCCCCAACGCTCCTGCATCTCAGTGATTCTTCTGCCCTAGCAGGTCTCTTTCTCTACTCTAAAATATTTTAAAATGTTCTGTAGCTTGTTCATAATTAATAGGTATTTTACCTAATGGGAAATTAATGAACCAAAAAGGAGAAGGCTAATTACTGTAACTTGAGATTGGCAGTGATTCCCAGACCCCACAAAGGATCCTGTTTGCCATGTGTGTGCCGAGGACGAGCTCGGCTGGTGGGAACGCGCCGCTGGGAGAGCAGCAGAGCCCTGCACGGAACTCCATTGATAAATCACCTCTCAGGATCGCTGACCACCTTCTCCAGGTGCTCTCTGCTGGTTCACTTCCAGGGGAATGCAACAAAAAGGAGTTTAATTGAATAATGAGAGTAACAACAAGAGAAAACCCCACTGAGCTTGACAAAGAGAGAAGCCATGCTGTTCTCCGGAGGAGGAATTCCCTCCATGTGTTTAAAGATTGCTAAACTGACATCATCTCTTTGTATGCTGGAGAAAAAACCCCACCAAACTACAGCACAAAAGAGAAAACAAAATAGAAACAAATTTTCTGCCTGACAGGAATGGGCATATCAAGAAAACAGCAGGTAGATTCCTTTGGCAATAAGCCCCAAGTTTGGTTGTTAACTGGCAGCTCTTGGACTTCACAAGTTTGGTATCACAGAGACACAGACTTGCATATTTTAAACACACTGTTCTCAGCCTCCAAGGTCTGCCCAGCCCAGCCCTGAGCGCAGGAATCCTGGATCCACAGGAGGAAAGAGAGGGTAAAGCTACACCAACAAAAAAAGAATTACAGCAAGCTAGTAAGTTCTACTTTTTTCTCTCTATAAATCTAAGAAAATTGTGGTACTACTTTGATACAAAAAAACCCTGCCCACGAATAAAACCCACTCGGTATTACACTGGCCTTGCCATGAGTAATTCAGCCAGGCAGAGATCTGCTAGAGCCAGCACATGCAACAGCACAAATTTACTACATCGGTGAGAAGACGCGAGTCGTGAGTGCAACCACTCAGCTCTGCAGTCAGTGCTGGGCTTTTAATTGTGTTCCAAAATATTTCCCACATGCAAAATAATAAAGCTCCACATTTTTAATGCTAGGCTTGAATACCACCATTTTCTAACTCATTATTAAAAGAGTTGGTTATTACACATTTTATGTGCACCTGATTACAATAAAGGGTTTAACTAATTTTAGTGCTAAGGCAGCACTGTGAAATGGGACTGGTTTTACCTAATCCAAGTGAGCATGACTACACTGCCTCATTCAACCTGATGGGAAGGCCAAGGGGGAGCCAGGGAGGAGGAGTACCATGGGTTCCTCAGGATAAAGGAAGCTAGAACTACAGGAATCCTGTCCCACGGCAGCAGCACTGCAGACTCCAGTGCAACCCTTTCATACAAACAGCATGTTTTAACTCAGGTTTTCTTTTATCCACCATGGATGTTAAAGAATCCCAGAAGGAGAATGGCATTCCATGTTTGGTGCTTGAGGAGCCTCACTGAAGTACCCTGTCACGCTTCTTCCACCCTCACAATGAGCATTAATCAAGCTGACACCAGGAACGTGCACCCCCGGTGTCTCCTGCCACTGCAGCCCCAAGCTTCCTCAGTGTGCAGCAGCTCTAAGAAGCCCCTGGGGCTGCACTGAAGCATTTTTGTGCTGCAGAGGAGACACCTCAGCCTCAAAGAGCTCCCCATGGATGCTGCATTGGGGCTTGCTAGAAATCTGACTCTACAAGTTCTTACAGAAGCCAGTGTACACACAATGATAGCCCATACCTACTTTGGCAGGTAGGCTGAATTTGTAAAGCCTTTTGAGGAACCACAGAGTTAAGGGATGGGCTGGAGGGACTGCAGGAAGCACCGGTAACAAACTGCAGTGAGGGGAAGGTTGCTCTGGAAAAGGTGGGACTCAAATTTTTTCAGTACTTTGCAACATCCCCAAAGGCCATGGCAGCATCAGCACCTCGGGAATGCCGACGTGCCTTTGCCTGCTCCTTACCTTCACTGAAGACAAAATCCGCGGGGATGTCGAAGGGCTGGAGCCGCACTTCTGACAGCAGGAGCTGCACGGACTTCTGGTGGTCGCTGGAGACGAGGGAGATGGTCTGCTGTGCCTGGCACTCGTAGGAGTGCCCGGCGGGGGTCACCAGGGCCGAGAGCCGATGCGAGCTGGCCGTGTGCTTCCCGGCTGGCCAGGGGACACAGACAGGTCAGGCCCCGGCCCCGATGGGCCTTTGCGAGCAGAGGGAACGAACCGAACGCGCGGCTGACATGGCCGGGGTGCAATGCGGCAGCAGTGGCGCTGCTGCTCCTGGAGTGTCCTCCAGGGCTGGGACCCTGCTTTTGTCTGATACCCCACACAGCCAGGGCAGCTCCCACACCGGGATCGCCTCCTGCAAGCGGGAACACACAGCTCCAGCACACGGAACTGTCTCTGCTGCCGCCAGCTCCGCTCCTGTCACAGTGCCTGGAGTCCATAACATCAGAGAAATGGTTCCCGTTCATAGACACTCAGGGCTCTGCCCGGGACTGTGATTGTACTCCCAAATTCCCTACATTTGGGAAACAACCATTTCTGAGGCTGCACTTGGGCTCTGAATCCAGGTGGGAACGAGCAGTGCTATTGGGGACCACGCCACAAAGCAAAACATGCCATAAAGCCTTTCCTGAAAATACAGCGTGACCATTTCACCCAAGTATAAATTATGAGAAAATGTTTTCCCATCACACCAAGCTTGTTTTGCAAGCAAAGGCCAAATGTGGCTGAGCCAGGTGGAATGAGGGATATCTTCCACCTCCCGCTCCTCTGCAGCTCTTTGTTCCCCTCCAGCAGCACAAAAAGGCAATCAGTGCTTTGCGTGGGCAGGGGCTGATGAGGCATGGCCAGCTCCGTGTTTTGGGGACTCAAACAATGGAAACACCAGTTGGAAAAACAGCCTCAAACCCAGCATGTCTTATGGCAAAAACTCTAAATGCCCTATTCATTGGAGTTGGAAAGTCCTGAGGGAGAACAATTTGCAAATGACAATATTTCATTTTTCAATTCAAGACAACACATTTCTGAGTAAAATGAAATAAAAACAAAATGAAAGCCAAAATGGAAACCCGGTGAGAAAAGAGGAGGCTGCTGGGTGCGGAGGTGCGTAGGGGTATGATACTAATGTCAATCTCAGTTATCTTGGGAAACTGCTGCTTTCCCACCTATTCAACGATCATCAGGATTAACCTCAAAACCAATCTCCCCACAGGAAAGGAGACAAGCTTTTCCAGCCCAGGTGTCTCCCTGCCCCACCTCCTCGGGCCCTAGGTCCCGCAGGACAGCCCGGGCAACGCAGCAAACGGGCAGAGCTGGGCTCTCCCTCCCACGGCAACCGCGGTGATTAAAAACAAGGAAAAAAAAAAATTAATATAATATGCTGTTTAAACTCGGCAGATGGTGCCGGCTTTGTCGGGAGGGTTTGAGGTTTTTTTTCCCGTAAGGTATATTTAAGCGAGTATCCCCGCAGGGTGCTCCTCTCCCAGCCCGGCCCCGCGCCCGCCCGCCGCGATCTGCCTTAAACCCCGAGCCCGGGCGCTTACGGCTGACAGCATCCTTGAAGTAGGTGCGCTCGGAGGTGTCGTAGGTGAACTGGATCCGGCTGAGCCTCCAGGACGCCTCCGGCCCCCGGGACGTGTTGTGCCCCTCCTGCCGGGACAGGGCCGGTCAGAACCCTGCGGAGCCGCCGCGCCCCCGGCCCAGGTCCCAGCGTGCGGGGAGCCCGTACCTTCAGGAAGGAGAGTTTGAGGGTGTACGCTTGGTCCAGCCAGGAGAGCTCCAGCTCCGACTCGTTCGTGCCGCACTTGCCCTTCATCTCGGCTCCCCTCGACAGCGGGATATCGGCTTGCTCCGTGATCAGCTGCAAGAGGGGAGCGGGGCTCAGCGGGGAGAGCCCCGAGTCCCCCCGGGCACTCACGGGCCCCCCACTGCCCCGGCTGAGAATCCTCGGAGGGGATAAAGGATTTCCCGAAAGTACCGGAAGATGTGTGGGTGTGCGTGTCCTCTGCCACCCCCTGTCCCGCTGGAGCCCCGGACCCCCCCACTCACATCCACATAATTGCTGGCCCACACGTCGTAGGGGACGATGAACTTGGCGGCGAATTCGGCCATGAGACACGTCGTCCGGTTTTCCCGCACCACGAAGATGTCCTTCTCGGGGTTAGGGGAGAGCCCGGAGAGGTTTTCAACTTCTTGCTCGGCGGCCAGGCGAGCCGCGGCGTCTGCGGGCACAGCGGGGCTGAGCGCCGGCAGCCCAGGGCCCGGCGCCCCGAGCGTCTGCCGCTCACCCTAACACCCCCCGCCACCCCCGAGCCCGCCGGAGCAAGCTACTCTATCGCGACGGGGCGTCCCTGTCACGACAGAGCAGGTGGAGGAGATATGGCAGCCAGTGGCGGTGATGCGGGACCGGTGCCGTGACAGCGCCGAGTCTGTGTCAGCGGCAGTCTTGTCGCGACAAGGCTCCGTGTCGCGACTCGCCACCCAGGTACTCACGCAAGATGAAAAGCAGCCCCGGGAGGCGCCCCCCGGCCATCCTTGCTGCTCGGTCCCGGCGTGGCCGCGGCTGCTGCAGCTGCTCCTCCAAAAGGTCCGCTCCGGAGAAAAGAAATTAAAAATAAAAAGGAGGGGGGAAAAAAAAAAAAAAAAAAGCCGCACACCTCCTTTCTGAGGAGCCGCACGGGCTGCAAAAGCACTGTGCTGCGGAGTGGCGGGGAGGAGGGACGGGGAAAGTGTGTGGGTGTGCGGGGAGGAGGAGGAGGAGGGGAGATGCTGGCGGAGCTGATGGAGCGCCCACGCCGAGGGACGGGGCGTACGCGCAGCCGGGAGGGGAGGAGGGAAGAAGGGATTCCCCCCCTCCGGCGCTGGGGCCCCGCCGCACCAGCGGAGGAGCTGCCGGGGATCCCCGCGGGGACCTCGGGCCGCCCGACGTGCGGCTGGAGCGGAGCCGGGCTTACCCCGAGCGCTTCCCGCTCCCCCGGCAGCGCCGGCGCTGGGAGCGCGGCCGGGACGCCCTCGCCCCCGGGTTGTGCCGCCCGTCCCTGCTGGAGAAGCCGGCGGGATGGAGGAGGGGATGCCTATTCCAGCGCCGGCTGCTCACGGAGCGTCACTAATTTCTGTGAAGGCGAACAGCTGCTCCGCGTGTTAATTTAGGAAAAAACGTGCAGCTATTTTTGTGTGGCAAGGTCAGAAGCAAACTCGCATCCTTCTGTGAAAGGCCATCGACACACCTGAGCTCTAAGATGTGACAAACCACAACGCGCACCGTAACATAGAACCCAACAGCCCCGAGAGGGTGCTTTAAAACAGAAACAACACCGTCCGTGAGGGCCCTCTTTGGAGGGGACAGGCAGGAGGTCGGGTGCACCTCAGAGGTGGGACAGGTGCCAGCTGAGCCGGGGCACTCAGGGTTTTGTCCCTGAGCTGGGTCAAAGGTGCGAGACAGCGAGGCCCGGCGCTGAGCGGAGAGGGGGCTGCGAGGGGGGGTGAGCGTACGGAGGGCTGCCCGCCCCCTGCCCTGCCCGCTCCGGGGCCCCTCAGCTCCCCGCCAGCTCAGCGCCTTCCCTCGCTCGCTCTCAGCCCGGGGCTGTCGGCAGCGGGGCTGCGGGAGGAGCGGGCGGTCCCAGGCCGGAGCGCCCGGCTGCGCCGCCGCTCCGTGAGGTGGAAGTGCGGCCGGCTCCCGTGCTGCTCCCTTGCTCCGGGTGATGCGACGTTGAAATAAGTTCTTCAAACCTCTCACCGGGACCTTTTATCGGAGCTTTAACGCGCTGCCACTCTCGCCCAGGGACCAGGAGTACACCGAAGTATTTACGATTTACAGCGACACCAGTCCCAGGAGCAGAGGGGATGAGAAGCCCTGCACTGAGGACGGGTTTTTGGTAAAAAGCCAAAGGGACAGCAGCGATCTGGAGTGATGGCGTTAGTGGATTCACTATCAATTCACGTTTCTAGTTCAGGAAAAGGCATCTGGAGGAAACGGTCCAAGGTTTTGCAAAGCAAGATATTGCAAGGTGAGTTTTGACTTTGGATACCTGCCCTTTCTCTGCCAGGGAACACATGTGCAGAGAACATATATTTTCTTGCTGGGAAATGGCATTTTTAAAAAATAAAAACAGATACTAAAGGGACACAGTGATTTCTGTAACTATAATGTTGAAATTACTTTTCTGCTTTCTGTACATATTAAATATATTCTGATCATTTCCTCTCTCCTGTTTCATGAAAAAAAGCCATTCCTGCACACCCCCAAATTGAGTCAGACCTGTGTCAGTTGTGATACAGGATTAACCTAGGGATAATAATTTTGGGGGACTATATAAAGGAAAAAAATAATCTATAAAATAAAACCTTTGACCATAACAGGCTATATTTCTCTGGTGATTTTAGTGCCTGGCTTCCTCAGGTCCTACACTAATGAGCTCAGTGTTTAACTACCCTTTATTTCCTTCTCTAGTCCACTATTTAATTTCCATCCTTTCTGAGGTTTCTAGGCAGCTTTTAAGCCCTGAAATACACAATCCTGAGCAGCTGCCCCTGCATCCAGCCTGTGCAGGAGTGTCCAGGGAGCAGCTGGGAGAGAGCAGCTGTGCTGGAGATGGGGGCAAGGCTTCCCCACAGCACAGAACCCTGCTCCCCCAGCTGCACAGCACAACAAAGCCTTCAGCTCCAGTGACAATTGCCACTTCCAGCCTGCAGAGCTGTGTTCATCCTGCTCTCTGTGGCAAAAAAGGGCAAAGGCCTAAGACTTCCTAGCATCAAGCAACCCCCAAAACACAGAGCAGAAAGGTCTCACCTGAGTGAGCCAGTGCAGCATTAGCCACCCTGAAATGCTGTGACCAGGGACAATTTATGGTCTCACACTGGGTCACCTGAAACCAGCCCTGCCACCAGCCCTTACCCCCAGCTCTGGAGACCACCTGGGTATCTCTGAAGGCTGAATCCCCCTTGCCACCCACAACTGCCAGACATAACAACTCTTACCAGCCTCCTCGAAGGGAGCACACAGCACGGCAACAGACAGACCGCAGTGCTGGGACCACTACTGACACATCCAGCAGGAACAGGGCTTTACATCCAATTGTGTTTGCCACTTACAGCTGGTTTCACAGGCAGCCCCTGGACCACAGCACCTTGAGTCTGCAAGGAAATCAGCTCTGAGGGGTATTTTGGGTCTCTGGTGATCAATTTAACTGCATTCAGGTGGTACAGGGGTTAAATAGGCCCCCACCTGGAAATAGTCAAGTTAATGATCAACCCCCGAATTACTAGAAGTGAAAGAATAGCAGGCTGCCTATGAGGCCAGGGTGTCGTGACCCTCCCCATCACAGCTGAGCTGAATTTATCTGAAGCGATTCAGAGAGGCAAAATCTGCCACTTCCCTCGATGAAATTTCAGTGAAGTGGAATCTATCACCCCGGCAGGGAATGACATTTTAAACTGCTTTAACTCAGTATCAATGTTCAAATTGATTAGCCTATTTCATCTCAATGGAAATTCTCACCTCATTACATTAGCGGCCAAACTTCAAATAATTTTTGAATCAAATACTGCTTAAACAGTATTTCAAAACACTTAGCTGACAAAATTCATCACTTAATTTCAAATTACTGCCTGCATTTTATGCTAAATTGTCAGTGGATGAAATACGTATCAGTGTGGGGAGCTGAGCCTGGCAGCTGAGGTTTCCTACTCGGCAGTTTCAAAGAAGCCCATTTTTCTGTCTGAATTGATGGATGTCTCGCTCCTGGCTGAGCAGGGAGCACAGACTCAGAGGCTCTGGACAGTATTTCCTGTCCTTCCAAAACCTCTGTTTTCCCCGGAGGGATGGATGGGATGGTCACCAAGGAATTAAATAGGTTTGATCTTCCTCAGTGAGGGCTGTGGGCTGCACCCAAGCCCTCCATTCCCAGTGGTTTCTTTAACAGGTAGGGTAGGGCTTTCCAGCCAGGCTCTAACTGAGCCCAAGATGCTTCACCATCCAGTTCTTTCCATACCTGGCCTGTCATTTGCTTCTCCTTACAGGCTAAAAACCACTGCAGTAGGCAACAGTGTAAAATTCCAGCTCATGGCACTGTCTCCACCAACTGTGTTTTAGAGGACATTTTTAATGAAAGGAAAAATCATAATAAAAATCCTGTCCAGGATGCTCTGAAAACCCTTCTGCTCCATCCAGCACTTGAGCCAGGCTTAGAGAGCTGCTCTCTGTACACAACCTGTCTTTTAAAATATTACAGATGACAAAGGACCAGGACCTACCTTCATAGGCCGTGGCATCAGAACGGGAATTTTGAATATGCATCACAAGTCTGCTTAAACCCTGCTTTAAACACCTAAGGATTCACTGACCTGTCTCAGTTGCTGCTACACTGCACTCAAGTTGCTGCATTTCCAGGTTGTGCTGCTACACTCCACTGGGGCACTTCTCTAGTGCTGCACAATGCTTCTATTACTTTTATGAAATTAAAAAAAACAAAACAAACTCCTTTGATTAAATAAGCTGTGATAGAAATATATTTACACTATGCACATTTTTACAGGAAATACAACTTGCTAAAAATCTGCAATTAGTAACACCACCACCCTGCAATTCACTGCAGTCAAAACTAAAGGATTTGAATTTTTAAGGTTTTTATTAGAGAAGTTGAAAGTTTCATCTCAGGACTGACAATAACATAATTATCTCTCTTCATTTATTTTGTTTATAGGAATATGTTGAATTTGTTTGTACAAGCATATACAACAAAGTAATTGGTGCTTAGTACATTGAAATCAGAAATCTGATTTGTTCTAAACTACCAGTTTTCCATGCAGTCATCTTTGAATTGGCAGCATGGACAAATTCCAAGCCGAATGCTTACATGCATTGTTTTGCAATATAACTACAGCAAGCTCTGGAAACATGCAAATTAACACATTAGCAAATTGTTTTTATATCTAATGGACATAAAAAGGTTATTCCTGATATGAAATTCTGAAAATCTGCATAAATACTTCTGTGTAAAATTAAATTAGTTATGTACTTCTTTTTTACTACAAGTATCAAGAATGCCCACGTAATTAATATACACACATATATATAGAGACCTTGTAATGCTATAAGTCTTTGTAATTAATCAAACAATATTCTGTGCCATACATTTACTCAGTATTTACCAGCTAGTAGCATGACTGTGGTCATATAATAGGCATTAAAGCCTTAGTAGCATTTGTATCACATGCAAACATACTCTTAGCATTTCTGTTCACTAATTTTATCATGTAGCAACATGTATGTGATTTTCTACAATGTTGTGTTTCCCAAGTGTATAAATACTTTTTACATTTTCACAGTTACAAACTTTTTGCCAAAAGCCATTTGAACAATCTTTTAAGTTACAATGAACTGTAGTATCCGAGAACTGCAGCAACAGGATCAAAATGCAATTTCTATACAAGCAATGTAGGATGTAAACTTTTCTTAAAGTGCCTAATATGTAATTCCTTAGAGCACTGATCAGTTTTGGCACGAATACACTGTATTTCCCTCAGGTTATCCAC